CACCACCACCACCACCACCACCACCACCACCACCACCACCACCACCACCACCACCACCATCCTAGTCTGTGATGTAACCCCATACAGCACTCACTAGCAACATCTGTTATTAGCACCACACTCTCGTGGAATTCCAGCGTCAAGCACCATCGACTTCGAGGTCGTGGTCTGTGCCACCATTCGTGCCATCTGCATTTTACCCGGGACCGAGAGGGGGGGAACCGCTAGTGGGTGGGGGTTGCTCGACGAGGTGTGCGGTGCGCGCAGACTGCGATTTCGTGCATCGCACCTGCCCATCGCATGCCTCCTTGTTGTCTCGTCTGTGCGCCTGCCTCTCATTACTCTTTGTGCCTGTTATCATTGGACGACGTTTTGACTAAGGCGACCGTAATTGGACTCGGACTACCTTAACGCATCTTGTTTGGTAGCGTTTGCGGATACGAGTCTAGCCACGTATATTCTAGCGTCACCCCACCTACGCATTGCGCAGTCAAGTGTCGTTTATCGCGTTCACGCGTAGACTTCTGCCGCCACGTTTTTTTTTCACTTTCCCGTCCCACGAGTTGTGTGAAATGTCGCTCCATGTCGGGGTAACAGGGCCTTCGCGTGCAATCGACGTGTGTTTCCTCTGTGATCCAAACATCGTGGATGACGCACGCGCCTTCCTGGCAGTGTTTACAACCAAGTGCGCATTTTTAAGCCGTCGAATTTGTGAACTTGGGTTTTCTGTTGATGTGGATCCACCACGACTAGTTTCGGTTGCATCATAAACTGCTAGGTCGATGGTAGTCTTGTGCTCGCAGACATGTCGAGACACGGTGGTTAACTCAAAATGACCGAATTTCAGGCCACTGGAGATTTGTGGCCCGACTGATTTATGCAAAACGCTTTTTTCGGCCTAATATCTTTCCAGCGTAAATGGTTTTAGTGCATCCAGTAATGTTTTAATTCCTTTACGTTGCTCCCCAGATACCTCGTCATTTTTCTTATATTTTTGTTTCACAAATCTAAATTTACTTTGGCGGTACAAATTTTAAAATCGCTGGTTTGTCTACTAAGTGTTTCAATGTCGGTAAAACGAAATGGTTTTTAGTCGCTCATCGGATTTACGACCATTTTTTGCTATGGTTTTTTTCCTGTTTTCATGATCCCTACTCCTTAGAAGGGCATTCTCAGTGTGCCTTTTGGTGTATAGGCAGTTGCTTGTTATGCGAAATTGGGGTTTTGAGGCCTCTTCATCGACGTCTGGCTCCATGCAAAGCGGTTTCTCACCGTCCTCATCGCAACCACACACCGAACACACTTTACTGCCCTAAAGTATATCAGCATTTCTGCTTCGGAGAGCTTTGCATGACGGTCAACAGACAAAGGCTCCGAGTGCAATTAAGCAACCCCCTTGTCTCTAGGCCCGTCATCCTCCTCCTCCTCCTCCCAGAAGGCTTTTACTGTTGCGCAGCCAGAAGCTCAGTGGCGTGTTGCAATGGACAGCTTATACGTGTTGAATCGCCGGAAAGATGAAGATTCGCAGCATTAGCCCTGTCGCGCGGTTGATTACTAGAATTAGATCCCATCACATCACAGAGAAATCTAGTTGAAATTGACATAAAGCCAAATGCATTCTGATTTGTGACAGCACAGCAGTTTTCCCAGGTGTAAATACCTTTTCGAATGGCAGTTGAACAGGTTGCGAGTTTTAACTTGCTTGTTCGAAGTAGCCTCGTTAACCTGAGTAACTTTTACACCACGGTGGGATCTGGGGAAGGGGACCTCTGGTGTTCCCGATTTCGACGTCGTCTTACAAAACTATCGAGCTAGTTTTTATGCATGAATAGGAGCACGCTTATGCACTGCGCACTGCGACGGTGGCACGCCAGTCGTGTGAAAACCGCTTGCAAATTCATCCACCTATGCACAACGCCATAGGGCTTTTCATGAAAGGACATACATTTTGGTGGCGCTCTATAATTAATTAATGAGCAACCGAAGTAGTAAACTGTTGAAATGCTTTAGCTTGCACACCTTCGTAGTCGATACCTGGGGTTTTATGCGTCGATGCGACGCATCTTGTGGTGGTTGAGGATCGTCCAATTCTTCGCCAATAGCTCGAAGAATGGTTTCTGAGGTCTTGCACCGATTCCCCGATTCCTTGTTTCTTTTTCAAATGGGTTGATTTTAATCGCTTTCAAATGAGTTGCCCGATGTACCATTTTTCTGGAAGTTTCGCGGTCTCGTGCACATTGAATTTGCATTCCTTAACGGCAAAAGCACTATCGTTGCTGTAACCGTCATCATCATCGTCAATGAGTTTTCCAACGCAAGGTGTTTCTCAAACTTCGAAAATGACAGCAGTCTGGTGGTGTGGAGTCGGAGCTAAGTGAAGGGTGCCAACCAAACCTCAGTAATCTTTCACGAGTTACCAATTATGTGTGTGTGTGTGAGGCATTTTATTGTTCTGGTGGAACTCGATTCATTCGTTTTTCTTTAAGTACTTTCTGATCTAGTTTCACTATTTACTGATAACAGACAACTGAAGTGATCATTTGGTTGCGTGAATTTTGAGCCCGAATTAACATCATTATCTTTCACAGATGCAAATTCACTGTATGTGTGTGGTTTGTGATGGTTCTTTACACTTGAACCATGATTGTTGTCGGTTGATTTAGCTGTAGACGATCCACTTTTCACCGCCAATGCTGAATCACTTTAATACGGGCCGAGTTCGTTAACATTGAGTTGCCGAACGCGAGTGCTGATTGGTTGAAAAAATTTCTTCCAATCAGCACCCGGAACCCGTTAACTAGCTCAAAACATTAAGAGGTCTTGAGTTGGCTTTGATTTGATCATCGCCGACTTCGTTAGGCCAACCAGAGCGTCGAATATGTTTACAAGAAAAATCTCCAGCGTAGATATTCAATAGCTTAAAGGTCGTATGTGTTTTTGTGATCTTTCTTGCTATAACGTGCGTTGCCTAGCCGATTTGTGTTCGCCTCGTACCTGTTGCTGCAGAACCAGCTTGCAGTGAAGTTCTGTCCTCTAATTCGAAGTCACTTGGTGCTGTGCCCGTTATGCCATCGCAGCCGCCTATTTGGCGAAGCCCTCCGACCGACGTGACCTCATGGGGCCGCCGTGTTCACGTGATTTTTCACGCAACCTGGCTTCACGCGGTCGCTCGCTACCGCGCGCGCGTGTGTGTGAAGGCAGTTGTTGAACTTAAACAGCTGTTTTTGTCAGTGTCACTACCTGCCCAGCAAGTTACTTCTCGTGCATTCGCGATATATTTGCCAGATTTGGCATGCTAGAGTCGATCCACAGGATTACCGACGGAGGTCTTTTGTCATTTTAGCTAATGGACCTTAGAATGGAGGCGGCGTACAATTTGCAGTTGCTATACCGCCACAACAAGAACCCGGAAATGGCGCGGTACATCATGCAGAAGTACCTGGTCATCGAGTGAATCGCATTTCGCCTGTACATACTCCCTCCCTCTCTCCCCTCCCGTTGTACATTGCAGCAAACCCTACTGTACATCTTACACTATGCTTTGTCAGATTATTTTCTACTGCTACAACCGGTAAATTGCACTTCTCTAGCTCTCTTACTGTTATGTCCTATTGACATGGGGCTGTCGTAATGAAACGTTATCTCCGACTGATGCAACGTGTTCCACGCCTTGATTTTCTTGTTATAAATTGGTCATTAGACTTTTAACCCGATTCCGTACCCACCGCGGACGGTTTTCAATCCGGGGTCCGAAGATTGAGTTCTGAAGAGATCTTCAAGTTTGTTCCGCCGTGCTTGTGGGTACCGGAAGCCACCCTCTCGTCTGTGGTCTTCTGCTGCACTCTTCGGAGATGAAATGATTTTGCCCCGCCGGCTCACTAGGCCGTCGCCCAGTTTCGCTTTGTGGTCGTAGTTCACCCGGTAATCGTGTGGCTGTATTTGCAAGTTCAAATATGGCGGCTGTTATTTGATTGGTCGTTTATTGGGAAAGGGAGCGTGTTGTCCAGTTTGGAGTAACTTTTAAGCCTTTCTGTGTGTCTTGACGCCTTTGGGAGGCCTCTGTTAAAGCCGAAAGTCGACCACACAGTGAAACTACCCCACGAAACTTGTTTACGTTAAGGTAGAATAATAGCAAGATGATCTTGGAAGACATCAATGATCTCTTCGGGCGACATTACAGAAGCAGGCTTTCACGAGGGCAATCGAAATCCCAGGTCGTTGAAATTTTAGGTCCTCGCACATGTCATTTGCTCTTTCCAGTGACCAAACGTTCGTTTCTTTATTTCTAGTGGAAGCCAGAATGTAAAAACATCGACCCACAACATAATACCTAATCACTCGCGCCTAACCACAAGTTTGCTGGGTCGGTTCCTGGGTCCCCAAATGCATACCTTTGTCTTGATGAGGTATGCAATCGTCTCACGGAAAGTCCCATTTTAAGAATTTGACCTGGCTCAAGGGTAGTGCAGCAGTGCCTTTCGTCAAGATTGATAAAGCTCAACAGGAGGAACGACGATTCCGCCTTGTATGAATTTCGCCCATTTCAGTATACAAGGAATTCGGCCAAATTTTCACCAAGATGCTTGTTTGCAAGGCTGTGATTCAAATGTGTCATCAATGCGATTCGCGTCAGCACTGACCCTCCCACGATAGTCACGCTTTTTTGCCCTTTTAGCTGGTCAAGTCGTGAACAAACGCCGCAGTCTTATGCACCGCCCCTAACGGCCTGGCGTAGTCTGTTTAATTTACCAGAATAATGGGCGGTAAATAGTGTCGGAGCAAGTATAAAGAGTTATAAACAAATCCGCTGCTTTGTTTATGGGTTCTAGTCCAACGCGGCCTATAAATTGAAGCTCCCAGTAGCGTCGATGTGGGGTTCATTAGCATGGTGCGGGTTCTGCTCTTACTCGCCTTTGTTGGCTTCTATGGAGCCTCCTTCGGGCTTGAGCTCAATCTGGACCCGGATGAGCTGGTACGTCTCACGCACTTTTGCCTACCCCCAGGACATTTCTATACTTTCTGGTCTAAAACTCCACTTATGCTATAAAAAGCGGTGAGGCAATTAACTTGCGAAGTACGCGAAGTCTCTGTCAGACTGCCATCAGCGGTCGGAATGTGCAAGAGGCAGTTTCACCGCCACAGAGAACCTCTTTTTCGTAATTTTGGTCCACAGCACAAAACTGTAGATTAACATGTTTAGTAGTTCGGAGAACGAACTTGTGTGTAGAACGACCTAGAGTCCTCCACGTGTAATTGTTGGTGCAGACAACTTTCGATCTGATCACTTAGAGTTGAGAGGCGTTCCGGATTAAATTACTCGCACGAAAATTGTTGGTTTGTCTCAAGTAAAGTTATTCAACTCATGATTTTTATGTATACCATTTAATTAAATAATTGACAATATCATTAATTTGCATAGCTTCGTCAGATCAAATCGAAAATGCTACATACTTTGATCTTTTATGCAAGTCAAGTACACGGGTGTACATTATGTCGCCTATGGCTAATTTATGAAAAAAATATGATTAATATCATCTAATGCGTCATCACTGATGTATTCGCTGAAAAATCGGAAGGTTTGAGAACAATTTTTTTCCTTTATTCGTTAATTTATTATGTGTGCATGGGTAGGCAAATATGCTTTAAAGCATTGTTCATTGGAGATTTGACGATATCAATAACACAACACTTTTAATGTACACAAATCATGCGAAAAACCATGTTAAAAGATCGCTTCTCGACGTGGCGCGAAAAATTTTGAATAAGTGCCAGTCTGTACAGCCACTTAGAGTTACTGAGATCTGGCTTTTCACGTTCATGCAATTGAAGTGAGGTGGGCACATGTGTTTTGTTTGCTTACAGATAGTAGCACAGAGGCAAAGCGCCGGGGGCCTGTTCTTCTACGACTCGAAAGGCGCGTCGTTGCTGTTCAATCGCAGTCTCTTCGTCTACCGGGACTCGCAGTACGACGATTGGTCGAAGTGGAGCGCCTGTTCGCCGCACACCTGCCTCGAGCACCGCTTCCGCCGCTGCTCCGACGACTCCTACCTCCAGCCAGTCAACCAGATGACCTCGGCTCGTGTGTGTCCCTTCAAGTTCATCGCCGAAGAGCGCCCTTGTTCTGACAAGTCAAACTGCATCTCCAATGGTAGGTTCGTGATGCCTGCATTCCCGACGGCTTGTCGGTAGACAAAACAGTGTCCAAAGTGTGTGATGCTCCAGGATTTGATGCATGCTCCGGCTTTGTCCACGTTTACGCAACTGTGAACCTTTATTCACCAGTTGAATATTACTGCTGACTTAATAAGTCCAAGGTCAAATACTTCAAAAATGATTTTTTGTACAATAAACAGCAATAATGGGGAGGTATCAAAAGCATCATGATTTTCATCAGGTAGCTTCGGCAGTAGCACCGTTACTAAAATAAAGAACCTACCTGCCTGTGCTAAGAAAACACAAAGAATAGCTGAATGGAGAAAAAGTCTTCCGTCTCGATATTCCATTAAGTATTAACAAAATTTTATACTTCGTTGTGCCTGTTGGTGTGACTACTTGCTCAGGTAAGAAGGGTGTGGATAGGAATTGGCGGGCACACGGGATTTTCGATCCGTCCACGATCTACCACGAAAGTTTCCTTGCCTACCTCTCAGCTCTACCGAGTCTAAGTAAATGTCACTGGTTGAGTTGGGTGTGGCACGATAACATCTTTATTTCAGCCCGACCCTCCCAGGAAATAGAGAGAATGCGGAGCATTTGTGGTGTGCGCGGCAATGAGGACAAAAACGTTAGGAAACGCCCTCAATACGATGACTACGATGAAGAGGAACCCCCGTACAGACTCAAGATCCTGGGTGGAAGACCCTCCAAGCCAAAGAGTTGGCCGTGGCAAGTAAGCAGTGTGATGTCCGTATTTCTGGTCAAGCAAATCCATATTCCAGCATTAACTTTTCCAGTGTAGTGTAAGTGATGTTTCATAAACTTAAGGCGATTAACCCAAACTCATTAATGGATCAATCAAGTGCGTGCCTGCAAACACTTCTGCACTTTTCTGATTGCAACTCTTGAATCGATTTAGCTACGGTAACACTGACCCTAACTTCCCACAGGTTGGCATTTACAAAGCTGCCAATTACAATGCCTCAGAGGGTCTGACTCGCCTGAAATCGGAGAACATAATGTGCGGAGGGACACTAATTGCGCCCAAGTGGGTTTTGACGGCCGCGCATTGCGTGAAGATGATTTTGCGCTCTCGATCCATTCCCTTCGGCCTCCCGACCGACATAGACACACCAGAGATGGCGCCGATTTCTATGTTGGTGCGCGTTGGCGACACGCGCCTCGACGGCACGAATAAACAAAGTGAACAGGAGAGCGATCATGTGGTGGACCAGGTCATCATTCACCCCTACTGGGTCGCCGAACGCGTCAACAGTCCCTACGACATTGCCCTGCTCCGGCTGGAGACCCCTGCTGATCTTAGTAAGGCCAATGATTCCTCATTACGACTATATTCCATCAGCTGCGTCGAGATAATAGGCCTTATCCAATTTCGTGCCGTGACGAACTGCCGACAATGACACATTGACTGTCCACTGCCACAAGAGCACCCTCATCTAGCCAGTCCACATGAAAGAAAATTTATAAACCTAAAGACTCTAGTAGTCCCACTTCCAGTTTGTTTGCTCTACCTGGTTTGTGAGAGTCGTAAGAATGCAGTGGAATAATTAGTGTGCGAAATGTCTCACCGATTGGCAAACGAAAGAGAGCGTGAAACATCGATTTTGCATTGGCGATCTCCTAGAAGAGCACTTGTCTAGCGTTCTTTTATTGAAACTCGTTTGAATGCAAGAAAGTCTTGTAGAGTTGTACACACATGGCTATTCAGAGTTGACTGAGTGGCTGACTATGTTTTTGAGGTAACGACACAGCGGGAGTAGCGTGCATTCCACGGGAGGAGGATTCGGGGCCCCCAGAGGACGCGATTTGTTACTCGGTGGGATGGGGAGAGAACACTAAGCCCCAGGGCTTCGACAGGCATCCCAGGCGCTCCTTCTTCCGGCCATTCTTCTGGCCTTTTGTGAGGATGTGGCCACGTCGTGTGGAGAGACCGACGACGCTTCGTGAGATTCGTGTGTCCATCAACCCCCCCGAGAAGTGTTTCCACCACGACGACGAAAACGACGTTCAAATTTGCGCTGGAAGTCAACAGAAGGTGAGGCCTAAAGCACCTGCAAAGCACTCATGCCCACGACTTAGAGTACTGCCAAAATAGGTAGCACTTAAATTTGTCTGCTGTTGATCCGTCTGATCGCAAAATGGTTCAAACAAGTCATAGGCAGCCCTTGTTTTTACGACAAAACTGATGCAAAATATGCAATTATAAGGCAACCACTCAGGAAATACTTTTACTTTATTGGACGTAGCTGGGTTTTTAAAATAAAAACAGTGTGTTCTAATTCATTTGAACTTCTGAACCTTTCCACTGCAGATTCAGTGACTCTTCGCATGTCAAGAAGCTTGCATGAGCAAGTAGTTTCCTAATTGAGGCATTAACTCCACCCTGCCTACTGCTAACAGGAATTTTACTAGAATTTTCGATTTTGGGATTCACAGACATCGAGAAAGCCACTTATCGACTTGCCATTTATGTTTCTAAATGCGTGATGTTGTGGATGTGTTTCTTGCTTGTTGCACGTTGAAATCAACAAATACTTAATAGAACATTTTCATCCCTCGAATTTCGCCGGCATTCCAGAGAAGTAAGAAAATAATAGGGGTAATTTATTCGAAATAATCCAATTTTATTTGAAATATTGAATGCCAAACAGTTAAAGGATTAGACTATATTTGCACTTTCCTTGCAGCCTGGAATAACAAGCTCCATTGAAACATGCGGAAAACAAACTATCTAGATTTTCAAAATACAAAACCATCCAGTTTTGGAACATAAATCCAAAGGCTTCGTATTTGACCTCTTGCAAATTAACATATCCTTTGACTAAGGTTGAGACTAACATCAACATATTGCTCCGAAGGAAGAATGATTCATTCTGTTGACATAGGCAGGAAAGTGGATGCATAAACAAGGTGGGTGTTACCAAAGTAGCTTAATGGCGATGAAACCTGTGGTCGAGAGCAGCGACGCCTGCTTAAACCCCATCCACAAACCAAACATCTGAAGGCTTCTTCAGCAGTATCTGTACATCCTTTTTGACAAATTTACATTGAGTGGACCAGAACCTTGGTGGAAGAGGTGTGAGGCGTTAACGTGGGTCCCTGTTAAGGAGAGTTAACTGCAGCACGTGGTGATGATGATGTGTTGTGTGTAGGGCGTCTGCGCCGGCGACACCGGTGGTGGACTGTTCTGCAAGAACGAGAAAGACGGTCTCTGGTACGTCTACGGCGTCATGGGCTCGGGTCCGACCCAGTTCTGCTCGACGCGTCGTTGGCTCTACAACTCCGTGGGAAGCGTCACAAAGTGGATCAACCACTACGTCGTTTGATGACTCCGCCTGAACAATCGAGGCCTTCTGCGCAAATTTTTGCCGGGATGATTTAATCACGCCAAAATGATAGCTGATTTGACACAAAATAAATCCTACACAGACACGAGCTTTGCTTTTATTTAACACCGGAGAATCCACAGTTGCGGTGTAAGGCGCATTCGGTCCACTTCGAATCACTCATTGGTAATTTGGAACAATAAGTTGATAACTATTGAGAATACGGAAACAGCGATTCTACAGTTGACTGGACTAGGTTGAATCTCATGTCTGTCCAGTGGAATCACTTTATGGTTTTAAGTGGTTTTTCTAAAGATAAGCAGTTAACCACACAATTAGCAAGCCCAGTGCAGTTTTGTGCGCGAAAGCAGGCGTGCATATCTACTTATAAATTGAGCACGAGTATTCATGGTAGCCCACATGTATGGAAAACTGAACTGCTACTAGAAATTACGAATAGTAGTTCATATCTGCATTGCAAATTCTGGTTTATCCCGTGGGCATCCGTTGTGAGATTTGGTAACAAAATTATGCTCCATTTATCTGGCTATATATCGACCACCCTGTGTGATTATGCACAAAATTTATATTAACAAAGTGCACATGCTTATGCTTTATTGAGATCCTTATAGTTATAGATATATGTGCCAAACATGTAGGCATGCAGCCCATGTGTAAAATAATTAACTCCTGCTGGAGAATTCACGGGTCTTCAAGTGGAGCTCCACGTTTAAAAGGGAAGTTCAGGTGTTCATTGGGACCTGAACTACGTGAGCAGTAGAGATTGGCATGAACGATGACGTTGACTGTTTGATGTAACAAATTAAAGTCAAACAGCAAGCTTATACTTCCATGTGAAATCAGGACTAGTGACTTGGTGACCAACTGAGACGAGGGGGAAGTCGAACCGACCGGTTCGCGCGACCCACAGAAAGTGTGTCCGGCGCGATTCTCAGAGCGACTGGGAAAATCTGCGACAGTTGGGTGTAAAGTGTTTGAAAATCTCCTGATTTGGAAATTTGCCTGAGCGTTTAACTTACACCGACCTTATTCTAATTGAGCAGGCTTCATCGGTTTTGAATTGTCACCCAAGCACGATTTTATACTGAAAATCCCACTTCCGATTCCAGCACCTTTGTCACACGTACAAAGGCAATTACCCCTGTTGATGTTGAGTTAGAAAAAGATCCCCATTCAGGCCTGGAGAAGCGAGATCGGCTTGGTGAATGGTGGGCACGTCGCTCTGGTGGAATACCGCGGACTTGGTAGAATAGCAAGCCTCTAAACCGTCGACTTCCATTTGCACTCATGCTCAATATGACATTTAAAGTGGCAGATTATTGCAGACTCGGATAACAGAATGCGTGGTTACTTTTCGCGAACGAAATGGTAAGTGTCCCAAGAAACCTTGAAGACATTTTTTCAGTTTAATTAGTCTAACGCCTTATGAAATTTGGATGCCTTCAACGACAACAACAGCCATCGAAATGCAAACGGCTTAACCCAATGCATAAGGACTAGAAAATGGTGATCGTGAGCACCTGGGTTTAAAACACCGGGGAATACTTTTTTTGTAAATCGCTAGATGTTGGCCGTGAGATTGATGCCAATCTTAATTTCTTTGTCTGAATTGACGAAACAGATTCACATGGAATTCGCTTATGGCATGCGTTTGGTTTCAGTACCAGTATATAACTTGGTTGCCATTAAAGATTTCATTTAGTTTTACTTCACGTGGGAGTGCTCGTTGGTGTAGGATGCGTGCCATTAAAAAAGGCGTCTTTAATTTTTTTTTCACTGCAACGGTCCACACAAATTAAGACTTTGAAGCACGTACTGACGCGTTATTATCAGGAAATAGATTTCGATTCCTTCAATGTATGTTGGTTATCAAAAAATATTCCAACAAATGCATAAATCAACTGTAAGGTAGATTCCCTCCAGAATATGGTAAAAATGAAGTTAGCTACCAGGTCCTGTTGGGATCTCGATCAAATTTAAAAGGAGAATCAGCAGATTTATTCCGAATACACCAATTAGGAACAAGAGGGTTGCCTCGTAGTATATTGTGAATCGCGTTGTTTCACACTAGCCAGTCCGATCACTTCAGCCTTCGAAACAAGGTCCCCCTTTTCACAGAATGGATTATCCTCGCACTTAGGTCTTGATGCTAGCGCATGTATGACTCACACATTCGAGCTATAAATACACAACGCGCAAACCCCACACAACGACACCAACGTGGCTGAGCTCTGAAGTAAACGGTTGTGTCCACGTCCTCTCCGGTCTTCCTCTGCATCGCGGGTAGCAGGGAAGCGCAGTCGGGCCGAATTTAACTCAGTGGCCCCGGCGTGGTTCAAGACCACATGCCGGGGCCCACAACACGCATGAAGACGCAAATCTGTGAGCAATCTAGTACTCTCAGTGGTCCAACAGCGACAAACGACACCTTCCACGTTTGAAGAAAACAGAGTACTGAAATTCCTGCATCCAAATTCACATTATTTATGCTGCTAAACACGCAGAATGTGCGGCGTGGAAGAGCAGAGGAAAGCTGTGATCCATCAAGCACAGCAACATCAATACATGAACCGTTTTACCTCTAACAAAGGCGAATTTTGTAGGGAGACTTATGCGACAATGCAATTCAAAACCAATGTTGATAATTTCTACAATCCTCCTTAAATAAGTACTCAGAAGATTCAATTCTAAAGGAATTTTCAGTGACACTTAGATCGGCATAGTTACGCTCCCCTCCCAAAAAAAAGTCTGAACTTCCGAAATTGTCTGCCAGCTTATTTGCTCAACGTGTGTCATGGTTTATGCACAGAAGCGTTACCCCGAGGCATGCCAACAGCTAGACGGCATCGTCAGCCGCTTGCTCTAGGTAGCAGTCACAACAGTAGGCTGCGTCAAACGGCCCAAAAAGGGCTGCTTCACCGCGCCCAGGGTCATCAAAATACTACAAAACCCCACCGAAATCAACTGGCTCTTTTAAAATATTTTCGAACAAAGGGGCCATCTCCATGACTCAGCTTGGATTGTGAAACCACCCACACAATTAGTGGAAAAAGCTAGCATTTTTGTGATTGGCGCAATGGGAGTGATAAACTGATTGAAACTAGAAGACAATCGAAAATGACGATTTCCCAAATTTAACCTCTGCAAGCTTCGTCTGAAGGCCTTGTCTGAAGTTTTCATTGCATTCAGTGGTTTAAAACTTGTTATAAACACAAGCTCGCTACATAATCTGCCATTAGGCATATTGCTGGTGTAGCTTGTGATGGTCTTAAGCCGTCAACCACGATGTTAAAACAATTCAGAAATGCACACTTTTGATGATGCCAATCTGAAGTTATGACTAGAAGCACGCATTCCTCATCAAGTACCACGGAAGTACGAAACGATATTTCAATGCATTGTGTTAATGATATCACGAAGAATGTCTGTTGGGGATGGTACACAAGCCAGAACACCAAACAGCACTGCTCCCTTCTGTGCGTCTGCGACGGATATGCAGTGGTAGTCTAGTACATAGGACTTAGATTGGGAGGTCTGGCAATAGACGGTGGAGTCCCCATCACCCCCAGGAGTCGTATTTCGTTTTAATAAAATCCGTTTGGCCCGACGTGGGCTAGAGGCCCATACGGTCTAACTATAGGGATAAAAAGTCCTTGGAAACTTGACCCCAACTGCGAAGTGGTTAATAAAAACTGCAACGCATATCATCAAGATTGGTATATTAAAGGTATAGCAGAACCCTTCACCTTCTCATTCACACGCCAGTAAAAAAAGGAGAGACTGAGTAATTGGATAAAATAATGTACTAGCTGTTACGCCTTGCCAAAATACACAAACAACTTTACCGTTAGGGCGCACACACACACGCACGCACGCACTCAAGGTTAGGAAAGAAGCAACGTGACCCAAAATGCTCTGGCTACAGTCGTTACGCTCAGGGGGGTGTGGTGGGGGAAACGTCAACACAGAGAAGTATCACACAGAGAGTTGAAGAGGCGATGAAGACAAGGGCTTCGAAGGCAGTTATGTCAAGTGACTAGATCAAAGAGAGAAAGAGTGGTCGGAGGCGAAAACATGGAATGGTGATGAGACGGACGGTGGGCGAGGGTGGCTAAAAAGCAAGAGGAAAGTAACCTGGCAATTTCACCATCACGACGAACTCACAGGACCGCTTTCGCGCTCAACACCTCGCATGTGATTTGGAGGTCTGTCGTGGAGCCCGGGGCTGCCGGTCGGTCGACTAACGAACAGTGACGTAGAAGCACACAAGTGTGGAGAGGATTGACGCTCCAAGTAAGAGAAGCCTTCACGACAAATCTACTACGTACGTGGCACAAACCGTATAAGAATTAAGGTAACACTTTAAGTGATGACTACTAGGCCGTGCTACTGCGATAGGAATCACCGCCTGGCCACGACAGAAACGACTCCAACGCATGCGAACGTCTTCGTAATTTAAAAATAAACAAGCAAAGCATTTGCCAGGCGAATGACAACGAGACCCAAACCGAATCTGACGTCAAAATAACATCCACGCCTTTGCGATGACAAGCCTTCAGACAAAATTAGGTTTCTAGTAAATTAAGGTAGGTAGGCTTGATGGTGTCCAAATCAATCCACCTTATTGCCGCAATTTTCGATCACTACCTGCAAGCAAGTCGCTGATCACGCCTATCATTCAGCGTTTGAATATGATGATGATGATGAGGAGGCTGCAGTTTTGCGACACTGCAGAAAAAGCACCGCCTCACCTTCAAGAGAAAGCAACGAAGAAACGAAACGACAAATCAACTTGAGGGGGGCATGAGAGTGGGGGGGATGGGCAGAGGTGGCTGCAATGCCGGCGCCCCGAGCTTTTCCGCGCCCGCAGTCTGATTGGCCAGGACGTTGACGTAGCGGGATCGGGCGGAGGTGGCGGTGGTGGTTGTACGCCGCGACCCAGACGCCCCACCCCCGAGGGGCTGAGGGGGCCCAGGCGGGGCGACGGCGGGAGAAGACATCGTCGGCATCATCATCGGTGGGGGCGGGGGAGTCGCGTCCTCGGACTCTGTGCTCCTCAAATCCCGCCAACAACCGGCGGCCTCATCCCATACAATCTACAAGGCGCACAAAATTAAGGCTGAATCAATATCGCTGTGGGGATATGCACTTCCGGTAGCAAAAGAGAGTGGTGTTAGCGGTAGTAGTAGTCGAAACATGCGATGACGAAGACTTAATTGAAAGTTGTACGGTCAACCGAGGAGCACAATAGTGCACAATGCTGACCAAAAAACAACAAGAGATCGGATGATTGGAGAAAAAGGAAGTGCCAAGAACTGAAGATTCAGCCTCTCAAGGAAAAAAAATATCCCAGCGAATATGACAAGGTGCCTATGAAAACACCAATTCTCGCGCCCAAAATGAGGTCATGTGATCAAAAGTGAGTTTCAGCCATACGCGTGAGCGCGTAGCGTGAAGTGGTCTAGCTCCCCTAGACTGCCGCAGCAACTGGCACAGCTGGGGTGGGGGAAGAGGCGACATGCCCCGTTAGCAGAACTTACAGATGGGTTTGAGTCATCTGGCAGGTAGACTTCTTGACCACCTTTCCTTCGTCCAAACAGACCGGAGAACCAACCAGACTATAAAAAGATAAGCCAAATTCTACTTTTTTCGCAAGATAAGGAACGACAATGCGATTAGAGCATTAGGGGAGAAATTTGACGTGTTTAGGCTTATCGCCTGACGAATGCGCTGCAAATTTCATGTGCGAAAGAGGCCCGATTGACGGACAAAAGAGAAATGGTGCCAATTGCAATACCTTTCTACTCACAACATGTCAGTAGGAATACTTTTGTGGCTGGGCAACTCACTTTTCCGGTCGCATTCGCCTTGGCCTCGTCGGACTGCGCCTGTTCCGGCTCTGGCTGGGGTTCACGATGGGTCTTTGTCGGCCGAGGTTTGCTCACAGGGGGCTGTGGAGGCGCTGTCGTGAACACTGGAGGTGGGTGTTGTGCATGGGACGGTGGCGCCTCACCAGGTAGACTTGCGCGACCGGTGTTGCGAGAACGACTGTCCCTCAGGGTGGACTATACCAGATGAAAGACAATTATAACTCTTACTACTGATGCATTCAACGATCTACATGCCTAAATAGACCTATTTATACTACTGAAGACGACACTCCTTTTACGAGTAGTATAGACATCGTGATTTTATGAGATTTGATCCCGTGATCCACAAAAAGTGCACACATCGGGCGGTTCACAGAGCACGACCACCTCAGAGCAGCGAAACCAAAGTTAGGGACAGGAGTACGGGCAACAGTAGGACAGAACAACAATGAGCACACAAGAACCACGACACGACGTAGACATCGGGTGCATTACCGATCGGGAGGTGCAGGGCGATTCGTCACCATCACTACCGACCGAGGACAGACGCCAGCGTCGATGGCACTGAGTGTTCTTCGGCGCTCCTCCCGGCACATCGCACTCGCGATGCCGACTGGGAGGTGGTAGTAGCTGCGGGAAGGGGGAGAGGGCAGGAGGAAATGAAGGGAATTGCTGGTCAAAGTAAACACCCAATCACAAACCAAGACGGAGGTTAACATTAGAAAAGAAGGCCAAGAAGCTGACATTAGTTAGCTTCCAGACCGATCGCCCTGCTACAGAGGGTTGCTTGTGGCGAAGACAGGAAAGTCGACAACTCACCTCACTGGTGCTGGGCTGTCGGGGGCGGAAGGCTGCGTTGGCGGGGTGCGCACCACCACCACCACCACCGGCGAGGGAGGGGGAGGCGCTCGTCGCGAGACTGGAGCTCTCGTGGGAACTCGCCACCGACACCGTCCGGGAGCGCGACGCCGCATGCTGGTGAAGGGGGCACACAACAACAACACGCAGTCAGTAAGTCGCGCGCGCACGTACACAAAACTACCAGGGTCTAATCAGGACAGACGAGCAACTGCTACCACCACCACCGCCACCACCACCTAGCGTGGGCGTTGTGGTGTCACTACTGTTTATCCATTCTTTCAGTGTGTTCTGGTTAAATTTTGACACTGGCGTTTTTGTTTACCAACCACGGCGTGGAATTGCACGAAGACAACAAACTGTTCGACGTCATCGCAAGCATTCGGTTGGAACAGCATTTAAGGATGCACGCTGAAAGATCGATATCCCCTCTGGGGCTACTGGAAATATCTAAACTGCCCCCCTCTAACTCTGAAAATCATACCTTACGGGTAAACAGGCAAATTTTGACCGAAAATTACCCGATTAGGAGAGTAGCAACAGACCAGAATTTGGGTGGTACTCTTACAACTAGGGCAGCGTGGTCACGAACTGGTTCGGCTGTGGGTTTGGAGTGCACAAACGCGAAAGCGCTCACCTGAGTCATGGAAAGCCCGGCAAAGTAGTCGTAGGGAGGTGGATCTGAGGAGGCGTCGGGGTTCGCCCGGTCGCCGCTGACAGCGGGCACAAAGAAGTCGTAATTGACGCTGTTTGTGGCAGGTTGGGGGTCGCGCGGCGCCGAGAAGGGAGGCTGGCTAACGGCACTCGCGTGTCCCGGTTCGATTGCGCTGCTGCTGCTGCTGGTGGTGGATTCTGCTTGATGCGTCGACGACGATGCGTGGGACGGGGGAGGCACCTGATCAGCGAAAAGAACAACAACAATCAACGCATGCAGAGTACTAGAAGCAGTGGAAAAAGACATCTCAGTGGTTATACGAGATTTTACCTCGGCTGGACGCGAGACGACGACGTCCTTCACAGACGCATGGGATGGCCTACGCGAAGGATGCGACGCCTCCGAGTGGTGATGGGGGGCACCAGTGATGGAGGGGTGCGACGCCGGTTCCGTGCCGGGCGTCTCGTGGGCCTGGGACGTCGAGGTGATGTGCACCGGTGTGCTCGACTGGTAGTTTGTGACAGAAGCCTTAATAGACACACACACACACACACACAAATGCGCACTTCGTTTCTCGAAGAAGAATACAACAAGGAAACAATCGAATTTGCAGTTGTAGTAGATGAAGGCACCACTAAATCCACAGACACGACTTTTTTCCCAAATCCAACGAAATAGAAAGTTGAAGGGTTCATGTCGCGAGAGTGCGCATTGCGTGTTCTCAACCAATTTGGCATTCTGTAACACTGAATCACACCGCATTGCAACACGCCTCGGAGGCCACAGGCTAACCACGATCGCTATTACTAGGAGTTGCGTGAACCAAAGCCAATTGTTCTTATCGAATGCGCAGAGCTAAAGCCCAGTCAAATTCTTAACAAAGAAAACGCTACACAGAGTCACTGATCAAGATTTTGCATTCACCCAGAACACAATTATCCCGACAGGGGTAAGCAGAAAAGTTATAAGGACGACATATGCAACATTGTGGCAGGGACTATTGGGGCTTGCATGACACAAACCAGGAAAAAAATGCCCCACACGGGAGCTAAAACAGATTTGGGGAGTAGTTTTGATCCAATGGAAAACACGATGGAACACTCCGGATAGAAATTCAGCCAACTGTCTATGAAAGTTGGGGCAAAAGCCGTCGAATGATTTAGTGCGTAAGTTGTCAAGATACAAGCAATAAAAAGGGAGATATACCTGAGGATTTTGGTGATGAACGTGATGGTGCTGATGCTCCGGTTGTTGCGGAGGCCTGGTTGACGGTGGACGATCTTGGCGAGCCTGAAATGGCGTCGAGGCAGCCGGTGGGTGCATCGCAGATGGATCTTCCGGCGGCTCCTGACCCTCCCCATCTTCCTGAGGTCGCCGAAGCGAATCAGAGTACGGATGATATTCAGTGGCTAGGCCGAGCTACAACCGAAACGAAAAGTACCACGCGTGCTGTGGTGGCGAGAGGCTTTGAGCAAAATAGCAAATTAACGTTGCGGTACGAAGAACAAGCACAGAGCAAGGTTTGCCGAAACGCTAAGTTAAATTGAGGGCAATGGCTTAATCACCGCGCTACATGCACCAACACTTTCCCGAAGTTAAAGCGAGTTGCAAATTTTACACACTCTCTACTGCTGGCACCGCGAGATCGATGAAGTGGCATTACTTGAGAGAACTACAACCACCCTGAATAAACAGGCCCCTAAGAGTGCCATCTGATAATGGTTAGCTTAGCACTACTAAGGATATCAGAGAGAGTGAAAAGGTTCGCCCACGTAATCGCGGCAAGGTAATTAAAGAAAAAGCACGTGGCTCACCACACCGCACATGCGTAGGTACACCTCTCTCAAGCGCTCCAACCAATCCAAGTTGACTGCCGACCGCCGAGAGCTGCCACCGCCGAGAATGTCACCGGACTCGAAGCTGCCAACTTCGGGGTGGCATTGCAGTTGTTCTGACAGCCGGAGGCACTGTGATATCATCAAGAAGAGGCTACGAATTTCGGCTGGTGACAGGTCAGAATCCGGTTGTTCGAGGAGAGTAACTAGAGCGTGACTCAGAACCATGAGGTACCGGAAGGCCTTCTCCACAAGACCCGCATCGAGCAACCGCAGACAGTAGGCGAACTTGAAAGGCTACAGCAACACAAAACAGCGGTTAATTGAAAATCGAATTCAAGTAATAGGCGTGAAATCTGTTTGGGAATGCAAAGTGCGTGTGAACCCAATTTGGAATAAACACCCATGTGGTTGCGAATCCCGTCGCTGCCAAACAGTCAATAAAATTACCATTACTTGTGGCCAATTTACCAAACCAATGTTGATATCATAGCGCGTAAAATTTACAAAGTGTATGGCAGCGGCACTCTACAGGGCATATATTTCCAACGGAAACAGTAAAGGTGTGAGGAATAGCAGAAATGAGTATCAAATTCTGTGAAAGGAAGGGGAGGACAACCCACCAGGAACTGCGGCAAAAAGAAGTGTTTGTCCCGCGTCGCCAAAGCCAGTGCATACTCGTAGACCTCGGTCAGCTGAATGGCTTCAGTGGGCGCACGCTCAACAGCAGTGGTCATGGCGAAGCGATTTTGCACCTCGGTGGTCTTGGGAGCCTCGACGCCGAGGAGCCAGACGCTGTGAGGGAAGTGTGGGGCCGAGCTCGCGGAGGTGGCGGAGGCGGCGGCCAGCAGGAAGCACAGGTGGGCAGCGAAGAGGAGGTGGTGCGTGAGGAGGGACTGACCCACGTGTTCCAGGGCCTCTCGCGTCAGGCCCTCGTGGCCCTCCGGCGCTGAGAGGAGCATCGCCACGTGACGACGCCAGTCGCGAGCGTCAGCGACTGTCCGGGGAAAAGTGAACAGATGGGCGGTCAGTGAGTAGAAGCAGAAGCAATGACAGAGAAAGGCAAATGGAAATACGAATAGTTGTGTGCCTCGTAGCCACGGGTCACACGTCCAACAAGCGAGAACGCAATAAATGGACAGATCAGGCGGGTGCACATCAATAAATTTTCCTCAGAAAATGGTACATTACTGTACAGCGTACGCACTTCGCCATTGGGTCTATCAGCAAAACCATATTTGGGTACAGATAAATAGTACACATTTACACGAAGGCGGTTGATTGAAATGGATAAATTAGCGAATCGCTATTCTATGCCAACTTTTATTGCGTCTCAATTGTAAACAGTCGCCACGAATTATTTTAAATAGGCAAATTTCAGGCAGGGAAAGGTGACAGCAACGGCAAGGGAACTGGCATAGTGAGTTGGGAGAGAATGGGTTGCGGGTTTTCGAGACTATGAAGTGAGCCAACTAAATTGACGGTAGAGTGGGTCCCGCACAAACTGACATAAAAAAACACGGGGAGAGGGTGAGCCGTATCGTCGACCACATCCTCATCAAAGCCTTTCTTTACTGCACAACAAGAGGAGACATCAACAGGGACAATTGGGAACCCCAGAACTGGGTCGAGAGCTTCTGCCGCCGCCGACGCCGCCGCCCATGCCACTGACGGAGAAGGCGCGGAATAACAACAGTCATGAATTAACAACGCGAAAGAAGGAAAAAACGTTAAATCGAAATTACAGGGATTAAAATTTGTAGTAACAAATTTGTTTTCTTGCAGAACGGCAGCAGACCTAAATGCACGACCCAAGTCACCGCAGGAAGCCAAGTTAACTGACAACCAGTGGAATGCATAACACCTTGGAAACAGCTGGTTATAGCACAGCGAGGCGGTGGTGCTCACAGTCAACGCCAAATCCATCGCAATAAAGAAGCGCCAACGCGCGACGCCAAGTGTATTCTCGAATGGCGTAAATGTGGGCTGCATTGTTGAGTTGCATTTAAATTAAGTGCGTGTTAGTGACAAACAACTTGACTGAGCTTAAACCGCTACCACAAAATAGCACAGGAAGGGAGATTAGCCTAAGGCTTCGAAGTGACGAATAATGTGATGGGAGGAGTGCCGTTTACAACGAAAGAACTCAACGCTTACAAAACCCCAATTTAATATCGTCTGACTTCTCGATGCCGGCACGAATAGGTATCAAATACATAACCTGCCTACATTTGGAAAGGGTGGGTGTACACAAGGTGTGAAGACCGTGATCGACACCACAATCACAGTGATGCATCAGCAGCTTAATGGCATTACGGTGGAATCACGGTTTTACACTTAGATTCGAGAGCCGGTCTAACTTGACGTGGCAATATGGATCCAAGACCGCCTGGCTAACCTGTAGTATCAATGTTTTTCAGGAGGCGACAGGAAGAAAAGTGGTCGCCTCTGTCAGCCCATTTACGCCGCAAATGCAGGTCGGATGAGGGAGGTAGTACTAATTAGTGAAATGACCTTCCATTTATGGGAATGTCCCCATAAAAAGTACCTCGAATGACACAAAATAAGGAAGAGGATGGGAACTAACAATTAAGCAGGGTGGAAGCAGAGCGCGGGCTCAGAACGTACCAGTGGCACAGGCCAATTGGTTGACATATCGTGGCATCTCCCCGGCGGTGAGTTGGTACAGCGTGATGAGAGGGTCGGCGGGGTCGACGGCTTTGACGAGGAAGCGCTCCATCACGCGTTCAAGCGCAGCGGGACCCATTCGGTGCGCGAGCGCGAAGGCGTGGCCCCAGAGCTGCTGCTGACAGGCCTGGTCCAGGGCTTTCAACGGATGACCGTGCAAGAGGAGCTGTGGACACAAGCGAAACAAGAAAAACATCTTGTGGTTTGACACAAAGCGACATGCTCTCAAGTTTACTGCAAGGCCAGTGGGAATTTACAAAATGCTACTTTCGAATTGACCGAGAGAGGTCAAATAGGTGTACTTTTTATACCGCCGAAAATTTGCTTACACCAGACATGTATACGAAAAAAAAAATAAAAAAAAACGGAATCATTTTGAGGTTTTAGAGTAGGCTAAAAAGCCATATTCTTGTAGGTTATAGCGAAGGCGCACATGGGTACACGGCGCCAAGGTCGTAACTCACGTGCCTACAGTCTCCAACACTCAAAATGTCTGTAGGAATTGGCAAGCGCTCGGGATTTCGCATTGTTTCACAATTAGTTTCAGTAAGTATGTGCGCCATTTGAAAACTACACACTATACTACGTAGCTATTTCAGGAGGTGAGATGATTGCATCAAAAAAAACAAACCATACGCCTGACGTGGCGATGCTGGTGCTTAATACACATTTAATGAGATCGAACGAACCCAACTAGGAGTACATGAGTTTCGAAGCGCATTCCACACGGCAACATCGGCAACACCGACTGCATACAAAAATGCCCAAAATGAGCGAGGCGACCAGGTAGCGCGCGAATACCAGACAATTTAACTCACAAATAAGTAAGTAGTTAGCAATGCTAGAAAAGTAAGCACACGCAGTCCTGGCATACGGGCTACACTGTGGGTGCAATTAGTTTCATCTACGTCAGATTATAACGAAATTGCCCCTAAAATGCAGCGGTATTGAGAAGGCTTGAAAGACGTGTAATTTATGCGAAAAGGTGGTTCGCGTTGCACTAACAAGCATGAAAATGCGTGGCTCAAACGGAAACTCGTGAGAGCGGCACGAGGCCCTAAATACACATAACGGTGGGTTACTTTGCAGTGAAACACAGCGACACTAGAATAACTTCAGCGTCAGAGGTAATATTCTCTCGACGATCCACTTTACCCAAGATGCCCAAATTGACCGACAGTTTTGCAATTTAAAGCTTGGATACACAATCGCTGAGGCCAATGACACTAAAACGACCAACCGTAATGCAAGCGGAGAAAGTTACACTACCAGTAATAAAAAAGAAGGATTTGGCAAGGCGATACGATTCTTTCAAAAGGGAAACAACAATGCGCAACCCTCGAGTCGTTAATCGAATAAGCACCAAAACTTTCCCACAGTAAAATCAGGTCGCACGTCTGCTCCTTCTCCACCGTTGGCACTATTTTAACATACGCTGGAACAAATTTGGCACATCGACATCGAAAAAATGTTCCTCTCCACAATTACCCGTTCAGATAAAGTGGTATTTTTGAAGAAAAAAAACACAACCACCCAGCAAATGTGATTACGTTTACGTTAATCTGTCTAGATCAAGCGAATGGACATGGTTGGCTATTAGCTCAAACACCGAGGTCATCACTTGAGTTGCGTCCATCAGAATTGCACTGATTGCTTGGCAGGACTGTATTCGAATGTCCGCTCATGAATAAGTAGACCGAGGTTACCATCGTTAAAGGGGTTTCACTGACTATGTTTTAAGCTGATCAGCACATCCCGACAGACAAAATACAATTACCGAGACCCAGCAAACCACGACACGTTATCTAGCACAATCCGCGCTCCACCAAGAAGAAAGATAAGGGTGTACGCTATCTACCTAATCCAACCTAGATGCCTCTTTGCGTGGCATCAAATGATCCTATAACTGGCACAAGACAGTGCTATATGCCCTCCTCCAGACCTTACCTCTCGATATCGATTGAGAGAAGCAGTATCTCGTTCTTGGACTGAACTGGCGCCAGCTAGCACACCTTTCCTCAGTAACTTTGATATCGAGGCGCCGCTTGTGGAAGAGGCAGTGGAAGCGGAATGGGTCAAGGTGCGTGGAGACCCTCTAGCGTACAAGTCGTCGGTTGGCACAGTGGTAGAGTTGTACAGGTAGTTACCACGGAATGAGCTCTGGCGATGGAGCGCAGGCAGAGTAGACGAACGGTCATTAAAGAATGGTGACGCTGAAGTGGTGGCGGCAGTAGTATAGTCGTAGGCCATGGGGTTGTCATCCTCCAGCAACAAGTTTATAACATCACCTGCTTGGGCGATCTGAAGAAAGACACTTAGAGCTATAAGTTCCAAACATTAGCAAGATCAAATCAACCATAAAACAGCATCCCTGAAAAAATAAATATAAATCACATAAATCTCTAGGGGAACCTATGAAGGCTGTAGCAGCCGACTTAGGTCAATTCAGCGCTTTGAATGGGCTACAGAGGACGAAGCACGGCAAAAGAACTTGGATTTGTAAAAAGCAATTTATTTCGAAACGGCCGATTCAGAATTGACAAGGAAAGGAGGACTCCAGTGTTTTATATCAAAAATCCAAAGCTTTTAAAGCAAAGGTAGATATTATTGGTCTTGAGGCCCAAATTGATGACTGGGTTGGCGAAGTAGCACATTTGAAATTCATAGATAATTGGGTAAAACCGAAATATGAGACAACTTTGAAGCTAACTATCACACGATGCTGGTGAAGCACATGAGCATTCTAAGTACTGAGCGGATTATTCAGTGACTTGTGTGGTTGGATCGGAAAACTTGACAATAAATTACATGCATGTGTGTTTAAAGTGCTTATGGGGACCCGATTTAGATGCGCCAGGGATCAGTTTGAAGGCAAAGCAAAATAAACCAAACGGCTGTCATACACACCAAGTCTAAGAATCAGAATGCAAAACACACCCCATTATTCTTAACGAGTAATTCCAAGTAAGAGAGCAGAAGTCCAGCCGAATCCCAGTCGGTAAGAATATGGTCGTCAATATCCTCCACTCGGCCACGTAGGAATGCCTGCACGTCATGCTTGAGCGTAGTGCCATGGCAGAGAGGACCTGGGTAGAAGGTGTGGTCGGTGCGGTCCCAGGCGGTTATGAGGGCGATGTACTCCTCGTCACCATCAGCCTCCTCGTTGTCAGACAGAGTCGAAGCCTGACCTTCGCTTGATCCATGCAGGGGTGGAGGGAAGACAGCTGTGCTTCGGTGGAGTTTACTGGTAGAATGCGAAATATCGGCCAGGCGCGACGAAACCTCAGCAACCACGTCGGCAGCTAGTTGGCAGACGTCAAGCAACTCAACACGGCCTGGTTCACCCTCTTGAGGGCGATTCGGCAACACCTTGAGGGACGGGATACAAATTTCGAGTAAGCGTAAAGAAAAGTAATAGTACAAAACAGAGAAGAAAGTAACATGGCAAAATACCACTTAAGAGAAGGTATCTACTGGAGTTGAAAAATGAGTCCAATGACGCTTGTTCCTGACGTTTTACGTGACGTTTAGAGGAAAACTTGGCTGAGGGCCAGAAGGTATGAGGAAGAATGCATGTAGGTAGAGCTAACAATCTAAACGATGTAATATCAGAAAGTTAACCGGTCGCTTAGGTCTCGGCTTAGAAACTGTGCGACAGATGTGAACACCTATGTTATGTGAGAACTTAAGGATTAATTAGAATACAAACACCGCTAATTACTTGAATCAGAAGTCCGGGCGTCGATAAAGTGGCACGAATGTGGGGCTCGATGAAGACCTTTGGGGTTGTACGTCCCGCAGGAACAGGCCACCCACCAGCCGCAGCCATGGCACCAAAGTAGTATTGGTAGTAGTAGGCAGCATAATCCGGCATTTGTGGAACGCTCTGATTATGAGCGGTGCGACTTTGGGGCAGCCCAGGCCAACCAGGCATTCCAGCAAACACCGGAAGGGTGCCCTGGGGTGGCTGTGCAGTCGACTGAGCTGGATGATGAGTCAAAAGCACAGCGCTTTTGGGTACATGGCGCTGTTGCTGTCGAGGAGCTTGTGACTTATTTCCAAAATCATAACCCGGGTAGAACTGCTTATAGTAGTCCTGCATAACCTGGTACCACTGCGTGTACGGGTCCACTAGATGAAAAGAATTACAGGGCTAAAATATACAAGTTTGGAAAAATAATCTTTTTCGGCACACGAATACAAAAAAACGAAGACAGTGAAAAGGCGACGCTAGAGCATTCCACTTAAACGAAAGACTCCTTTCCATACGCTTATTCTCTACTGCCTACTAAAATGAGCACAATTTTGGCATTTCGAATAGCAGCGTACAAAACACATAAACCATGCAAAAGCTGGCTTTCAGCGAACGCTAGAACAAACCTGGAATTGTATCGACCATTTCCTGTGCTCTTCGTACTTTAAAAAAATAAAATCAGTATAATAAAGAGACTTGATAACAAATAAATAGACAAGTGCATACTTTCGGAGGCAATACTTTCAGGGGTTGATGGACGATTGCGCAATACTTCTTCTCGTCGATTTCCCGATGCCCTGAAATGACGCTTCGAAGTCTTGCTATGAGAAGGCAGTAAAGAACCTTGAACTGGATGGACTTCCTTGTTCATAGCTAAAGTGTTTTAGGTGGTAATTTTTAATACCTGCTGGTTTAGGGTTTTCAGGGCTCGTAATTTGAAGTCCCGCAAGATCATCAACAAAAGACTTTGGAGCGGCAACAGATACCGTTGGTTGTAGCAATGTACAACTAGGATAGGTTGGTGTAGGTGCTACTAGGTCAATAAGCTTATATGGATCATATTGGCACGGGTCTTCGTTGTTCGTAGTAGGGGCTTCAGAATTATTGGCGACGGAGGGTCCGTTTAAATTGTCACAAGAGGGATCAAGCGATTGGTTGGAGTCATTTCTAAGCATAAATTACAAAATTATTAACGTACAAGAAATTGTTAACTCCATCCATAGTCAAACAAAGACCACGGATAAAACCTCAGTCGAAACCAATAACCCAAATGACGTCGGAAAAATCAAATCAACCACACGTGACGGAGAACCATTAAAACAACATAAGTCCCAATAATAACATGCGCCTAATTTTTAAATATTGTCTGTTGTAAACGTTATTCTTAAGTTCAAGGCTTTAAAAAAATCAGTCACTTGAATTTTGATTGTAATATCTGGAAGATTCTATGGGAAATTCTATTAATTCGGAAACTGTTTGTTATTTTAAATGGCACTGTGCTTAAAATAAGTACTAAAGAATGCTAATCAATTCAAAATTATGTTCTAATCGCTGTAATTCTTTCAATTGTAATCTTGTGCATGCAGTTGGACTTTAAGTACTGCATCGGTACTGTTATCCGATAGCTTTATTTTCATGAAGTTTGCAAGCAGCATGGATTATTATCCTCCATAGAAGCAGCTTATTAAAACTAAGTAATGTTTTTACATGCTAAGAAAAATTTAAAAATCTTTTCAGCAAAGGAAAAGTGTAGTCATTAGTGCAGACGTGAAATACGTTCGGATAGGGCTCACACTAACCCTTTCGTTGTTTTGTATTCCTAAAAGTTATGGCTCTTTTTCCATTGATATATTATCCAGGAATACCAAATTCGATCTCTTGTCAAATAGACCAGTTTCTAGATAAGTTGTTACTTAAAATCGGGAGACTGTGAGTCTGCGTGCATACTACCGCATTACTATTTAGATTGACGCGAATTCATTCGATGTGAAGTTCCAAGTCCAGTTCAGAAAGAAAGAGGGGACATCTAGATAAGATGGTCCACTTATGAAATGTATATGTGTGGGTGCGTGGCAGAGGCCCTTGATTCTACACTTTTAAAGAATGTGGGAGAACATTCATCAGGTCGAGGTACTGTTTTGACGTACCCTTCTCCCCAGTCACACTGTTGAAGTCGTTTTATCTAATCACACATTATTATCACATTCTGTAACTTCACCATGTTTAACTTCTGACATTGGTAGTAAGCTTATTAAGACGAGTTTGAGTAACATTAGGCTTTCAGAAAACTCCCAAAGTCTTAACGAAGAAGTGTGGCAACAATTTCACGTATTTCAGCAATCTCACTGTTATCGATTGAAAATTGAAAACACAGGAAAGGGTCACACAATAAGAGTGAAGTTGCTGAACTTCAAAAATTGCAGCCACGAGCAGTGAGTTAATTTGAGTTTATGGCTAGTAAAGTTGTTCCTTGAAATTTGTAGTGAATCGTGTTGATTCACGTCTAATAACCCTGTCCTCGCATCTTTCAGCACACCTCCCCCCTTGTCACGTGAGACCGCTGGTTCATCACCCCGCTGAATGTACCATCACCACCACCACTTCCCGCATTGGTAATGTGTCCTCACAAACGCTTGTGTTCGTATTTACGTGTCACTCAGCTGTAAAACAACACAACTAGGTTGAGGGGTCTAGTAAACGGTTGTGCCTTCCCCACTCCGGTCTTCTATATTTTCGCGGGAACGCAGGGTAACGTATTCGGCCTAGATAATCGCATTGGCCCCGGCATGGTTCAAGACAACATGCCGGGGCCCTCAACAAATTCGACATACTGTATTAGTATGGCAGACTACGTGGCAGAAACTAACAAGTGCACAAATAGTCCCCACAATAGACTAAGTATTAACTCGTTCAAAAGACCTTTATGTACAAAAAATTTACACACAACTTTCATGATAAAGAAAGTTCCTTTTTCGAAACCCAAATTGTGGGAAACTCGTGAACAACAAATTTATCCCACTTCAACACGTCCAACAAGGTAGTTGAATCTGGAAAAATTTCATGTTTTGGATAGGTTCTACTCTGTTTGTCGACACACTGGACGTAAAAGTACGGCGGCAAGTCACCCAAAGAAAGAAGCCAACTAGTCACAGAGGGGTCGACATCATCGGCGCTACGCACGCCGGAGAGTCCAGGGCACGACAATGCCTCTTGTTCTGATGATGTAAGATTGGAAATTTTAGCATGCCAAATTTCCGACAAAAGGGAGGCGCAGAGACAATCGTGGACGAGAATGTGGAGAGGCTTGAGTACGGAGTCCGACCATGGCTTTTCCTCTCCCTGCGAAGCACAGGTGTTGGGATAAAGCAAGCAGAACTCAACAGTCCACGACAATGTCGGGGGGTTCTCACAGATTAATTGGGTGCGGTTCAACTTGGCGCGAGTTAGAAGGCTACTGGAGGACGGGCGATAGTCAATGCAAAGAGAACGTGCAGCAATTACTAATTTCGACTGAGTTCTCTGACGGCCTCTCGAGGAATTCCGTATCTAAAATGCATAAAACAAGTGAAACACCAAAATATTGGGGTTAACAGAGTCCCGGGGAACTAGAATGCTTGTAGTGATACGTTGAAAGAAAACGCGGAGTGAAAGTATGCAAAAAGTCAGGGAATTATATAAAGTTTGCGTAAACCATTATGTAAAGAATTTAATGAACATTTCCTGGCACATATAGTAAGTTTCACAACTCCAAGTAAGCAACTTCATCGACCATCTTATATCACAACAGGTAGCAGAACAATAAAAAATAACTTGTAATACGAGTAAAGGCAGTTCATTTTTATCCACTAGAGTGAAAACAATGTAGTGGAATTTAGCAAAAAAACAAGAGCATAAAATATTTGCATTTTGAAGTAGTAATAGGCTCAAACATCATTTAACGACAAGTGTAGTATAAAATTTTATTTCACACATATCCCTCAAAGAAATCAATGAATGGGACCAGTGGCTACATCAAGTCAAGTCAGATTGCAAAAAAGTTATTATTAGCCCGCTATCGAACACGACTCTATATTTTGACACAAACAGCATGTTAATACAAAATCAGTCAAATCAGATAGCACATAAATGACGTGAGGTACATATTCACTAAGTGCATACTTACGTCATAAAGATTCTTTTCACGATATTCGTTATCTCTATCAAGAGACTCAAGAAACCGATAATCAGACAGGAAATTAAATTGATCGTAGTTCTTTCGAGCGACAAATGCAGCAACATTACGTTTGCCGCTACAACCTGTCTTCACTTTGTGCACTTTGCAGCACCGGAGAGAACACGTCTTCGCTCCACAACGAGGACAGGTGTATTTTGACCCATTTATTAAACAAATCGTGCATATTCTTTCTTTTTTTGGAAGGATATGCTCTTCCTGAACCTGGTTAACGGCATCCATGTGTGGTGTAGTATGATGTGTGCTGTGGTGTGGCGTCGGATCAGGGCGCAGACATATTGGACCACA